TGCAATCCTTCTGCCTAGTCCGCCATCTTGCCTGCAAGTCCCTCCTTCAATTTTTGAATGACTAATAGTCTATTTACTAAGCTTCCTTCCTCTGGTCACACTGAATTACACAATAAAAGGTAATTATTTCAGAAAGCCCTCTTGTGGTCATTAACCATTTTTGTTTACTGGGAATTAATTTTGAGATGAATTCCTTTAGGTAGGAAATTTCTTTTGTTTTGGTCAGAAAAAAAGTACTTTGGTCACACTGAATTACACAATAAAAGGTAATTATTTCAGAAAGCCCTCTAGTGGTCATTAACCATTTTTGTTTACTGGGAATTAATTTTGAGATGAATTCCTTTAGGTAGGAAATTTGTTTTGGTCAGAAAAAAAGTACTTTGGGCAACAAAGTAAAGGATACATCCAGCATTGAAACCATAAGCCGACAAGTCTCCAGGTTAAAAGCTGTTAAAGCAAGAAAATACAATCGTATTAATGCAATTTCAAAAATTCACATTATACTGGATCCATTCAAATTAAGAATATTATTATTCATATACTTTAATTTTCTATGCTACTCAATTTATGTGAAATCAAATTATATGGGGCTTCCAAGAAGATTTTTATCCATATACAGGGTTCCTTCTACAACCCAAATTTCATTTTAACAATTTTAATAGAAAGCTCTTTAAAATGCATTGCATAGTACTATTAATATTTTGGGATGTGATTATTGTTTTGAAATTGGGAAAAAAAGTACATTTTTATCTTTTAGAAAGATATATACTGAAATATTTGTAGGTGAAGTAAGATATCTGGGATTTGCTTCAAAATCAACCAGGGCAGGGTTGGAGATAAACAAGATTAACAACACATAACTGCTGAAGCCAAGTCATGGGTACATGGGAGTTCACTCTATTTCAGCTCTGGGATACGTTTGATATGTTTAAAATGTTCTATGATGTATTTTAAAAAGCATTATGTACTATCTTGCCTTTAATTCTGTAATATAGAATAATTCAATTCACCATAATGTTTTATATTCCCCAAAGTGGGTGGGATATTGCTTTGTTCCTGCTCATAACTGAGTCTAAATGGCTGGTTTTGGTAGTTCTGTGTGTTATCAGTAGTTTTCCTGCCTTTTCCCTTTAATGTGATAAACTAAGTGACAACTTCCTACTTCAAACAATCTATGACTTCTCATATACAATAAGCTTATATATAGAACCAGATAAATATATGTTAGAATTTGTGTTAAATAAGATGGTTTCGAGTAAGACCCAAGGAGCGATGAAGGGATGGCCAATGTTCAGAAGCCCACTTATTTTACTTACAGTTCATATGTGTTTGGAAGTCATTTCCCTTTGGCAGCAAAACTAGACTCTGTATACCCACTGGTTAACTGCCTACTGTTAATCTACCTAAACATGAGGAAATTAAAATGAAGGTCCTCATCTTACATGTTAATGGAAATCAATGACTGAAGAAATATAGTAGGTGTGAAGAAGCTGTAAAGGCTAGAGAGTAGAAATGACAAGGGCCACATGAACAAAGCTAATACAAATTATGCAACTTTGTTAAGAAACAGATGTTGTTGCTATGTGCCATGGAGTCAGACCCGACTCATAGCGACCCCTCCTTTTGTTTCCAAGGCAGTATCACTATGGAAGTAGATTGCCTAACCTTCCTTCCAAGGAGTGGCTGGTGGGTTTGAACGCCAGCCTTCTGGTTAGCAGTCAGGTGCCTTAGGCACTACACTACCACAGCTCCCAAGAAACAGAACATTTTTTATACTTCTGTTTCATTTTTTCCCCCTCTAATCAAAGAGTATTTAAAACACACTGAGTAAAACACACTAAGTAAAACTCACTGAACTTACTCTTACTATTGTAAGGTCTTTAAATAGCAGAAACTATAGGTTTTCTGTATTTAACAGATTTCTGTGTTTGTTGTATTCCTTCCTGTCTTACCGGATATTTTAAAAGTCTAGACTGTTACTATTTTGGTCCTTCCATCTCCAATTCATCTCTGAGATGCGAGGAGGCGGCAGCATTTTTCTTCCCTTCTGGGAAAGAGTTACTCCATTCTTCACTCTGACCTCTAAGTTGCATGGAGGTTAAGAAGTTCCTCCAGTGTAGACCTGTTGTTCTCAGCCTGCGGGCACAGCAGAATCACCTGGGAGGTTTTAAAGATCCTGACACCCAACTGCATCTCAAAACAACTAAAGTAGAATCTCTGGGCATCAGTATTTTTTTAAAGCTTCTCAGATGATTCCATTAGGCAGCCAAGCTTAAGACTACTCTTCCACTCACCAGAGTGTCCTTCCAGGATCAGCAGCATCAGTAACTCAGGCCTCACTCTGCACCAGCAAAAGCAGAGTCTGATGCCCAGGTGAAATCTATTCACATTAACGCAGTAGTTGTCAGTGTGTGTAGTCCTGGGCCCAACAGAACCAGCTCCGCTGGAACCTTGTTAGAGATGCAAATTCTCAGGTCCCACCACCAAACCAAAATCAAACTCACTGCCATGGAGTTGGATCTGACTCATAGCGACCCCTCCTTGGGTTTCCGAGGCAGTATCACTATGGAAGTAGATTGCCCAACCTTCCTTCTGAGGAGTGGCTGGTGGGTTTGAACCACTAGCCTTCTGGTTAGCAGTCATATGCCTTAGGCACTATGGCACCAGAGCTCCCAGGTCCGACCACGTACCTCCTGAATCAGTAACTCTAAGGCAAGGCCCAGCCATCTGGTTTTATCAAACCCTCCAGGTGCTACTGATTTTGGTAAAGTTTAAGAGCCAGTGCTTTAGAGGGGCTGACAACCACAGGCTTAAGTGGACAATCCAATTATGCTGGGTTTAGATTAAGGCTCCTGAGAGGCCATGAAACAGACAACTTCCCTGTTTCCCATTTTATGAATGGCATCACCATCCCTCTGTCATCCAAGCCATAAACCTCTCTCCCCCAATATTCAGTCACCTTCTAAGTAACAGGATCCATCCATTTCTAGTACCACTGTCATTTCCCTAGTTTAGTTAGCATGGCTGTCACCTGTATGACTTCAATGGCTCCTGACTGTGACTCCAGTTTTACCAAGTCACACCTATGCCCCACTGTAGCTGGGGTGGTTTGGTTTCTCCTACAGAAAACCCAGTAAAGGCTTTTTTATTGCTCTCAGGATAAAGTCCAAACACCTTATAAGGGCATAAGAGTCACAATTATTTCTCCAGTCCAGCTTGTCTCTCACTCTTCCTTCAGATTCTCTATGTTATCTTCATGGTGAATTTACCTCAGTTCTTGACTGAACCATGTTCTCTCATTCTGTGCCTTTTATACATGCAGTTATACCTGCGTGGTATAAAACTCCCTCATTCCACTCACTTCTTGGTCTGCCTCACCTTTGTTTGATGTTCACTTCTCAGTTTAGATATCAATTTTCCAAGGACATGTTTCCTGATCCCTGCCTATGTGATACCACAGCCTGGGAAACCCTATGGGGCAGTTCTATTCTGTCCTGTCAGGTTGCTATGAGTCAGAATTGATTCAGTGGTGGTGGGTTTGTTTTTTTTTAGGGGGGTTTTATGAGTAGGGCTTAGGGTACTGGGAACTTTGGAAATATAAATTCAAATGTAGACCCTGCCCTGGCTACAGTCTAAAGAGAATACTTACCTCTAATCAAGGTAGAGAGAGTGTGAGGTTATGTTTGTGTGTCAACTTAGCTGGGACTGGTGGAGTGGCTGGGCAGCTGGTGGTAGTTATTCCCGATGATGAGACTGGCAATCAACTCCATGGTGGTCTACCACAAGCAGCCGAGTAGCTGCCTTTGGGAATGTGGTCTGCTTCCTGTATTTAAGGAGAAACCTTGGGAATAGCATGCTTGGACCCTGCATGTAGCTGTGTAGTTGCTCAGCAGCCTGCTATGCTCTGCTAACCTTAGGACTTACAATGGACTTAAGTTAATGGCCTGCCATGTAGTTTGGTAACATCGGGACTGTGCCCTTTGACTTATAAACCTTGGGGCTTCTCAGCCTCAGCAGCCAGCAGCTGTCTGAGTGAAGAAACACCTCTAGCTCCAGTGGGCCAGAAGCAGGAGGCAGAGCTGGACCCCCAGGTTGAGGGGCTTTCACCCAGCCCCTAGCGCCTGGCACTTTGAACTTGGACTTAAAGTCTCCAAACTGTAATAGAATAAACTCCTGTTTGTTAAGGCCATCCCATTTGTGGTATATTTTTGTCAGAGCAGCACTAGGGAACCAGAACAGAGAGGTAAGTCATGATGGAAACATGAGAAATACTAAGGAGAGCTGCCTTCCTAGTAAGAGAATCAAGAAAGACTTAAAAAAAAAAAAAAAAAAGGAGCAATGAAGCCAAGCCATGGATGACAGGAGAGCTGTGGACACGGGACAGCCAAGCAGTGGCAAGGGCCAGCATAATCACGGAAGAAGCAGGCAAGGCCAGGGCAGGAAGAGGGTATGTGACGGCTCAGCTGACTTACACAAGTGTAAAGGGAAGTAGGCGGAAATATGGTTAGACGAGTTGGTTCACAGCACACACTGAATTCCCACTAAGCTATTTACATTTGGCTATGTGTGCACCGAGGAGTAGCTGAGGATTTTTTGAGGAGTGTGACAGGTCAGGCCTGTGTGTTAAGAAGAACAGAAGTCTGATCACCTTTTATGAGAAGGATTTGAAGGAGATGGAATGAAACCTACAGTGAACAAACAGCAACTTCACCAGACCATTCCAACGACCTAGAACACTCTCAGATCTGGTAAGTTTGGGTGAGGAAAACTTCTGCTTAATTTTGTTAACAATTTTTTTAAAATCCATAAGTGACTTTTATTACAGTTAATTCTATTTTAAGTAACTTAAAAATTCCAAATGTATTTAATTTTATCTTTACCTTCACTTTTGTTCCCCTCTTCCCTATTCCTTGTACTAGATTGCCTTAGAAATATACAATCTAAAGGATCTAGCAGAGAAGCCCCACTTCTAGTTGTTTCTCTCAACCTCACCACAGAGAAACACAGAAATTCAAGGAAATAAGAGGAGATGAATTACTCTCTTATAGACTAGAACAACTGCCTTCATCAATCTTATCTTTAGGTGTGACTAGTTCCTTTCAGACTAGTTAAAAGGCGGCCCCTACATAACTGGAGCTCTGGTAGCATAGTGGCTAAGGCACTTGACTGCTAACCAGAAGGCTGGCGGTTCAAACCCACCAGCCACTCCTCGGAAGGAAGGTTGGGCATTCCTACTTCCGTAGTGATACTGCCTCGGAAACCCAAGGAGGGGTCGTTATGAGTCGGGGCCGACTCGATGGCAAATAACAACATAACAACATAACTGGCTGGAGAAAACCTCTCCATTCTGCTCTCCACCACACACACTTGAATCTGTGCCTATAGGTTTAGAAGATGGATTTAAAAGATCAATGGCTATATAATTTTTGTACTGCAAAACTCATTCTGGCACCTTACAACCAGGATGGTTTTGTGGGTCATTACAGCCTCTACTGTATTTGGGAAAAATAATTCAGGACTCTATGACAGTAAGCAAATCAATACAATCACCTGGTCCTAATGGCTCTGGAAATGCCCTATGTTTTACTCATTCACTTTGGCTTTCTCAAATGAAACTTTGAAAAGGACTGCTCTCCAAGGATATACAGCTCACTTTGTTAGTCAGATTTTAAAACCTGCCACGCCTCTTACTGAAACGGGTGTAGAATAATACTGTGTTGTACTACTTCTGAAAACCATGCTATTAGACCGTCCTTGTTCATAAGCCCAGCTGTTCCAGGTTAAAAATTTACAATTTAAATATGTTACCCACAACAGTAAAAAAGTCCCTAATTTAGAAATGCTTCTTTTGTTTAGGACCATATAAAATGACAGAAATGCAAAAGTTTCTTCCTTTGTATTAATTCTTCCAGTTAGGAAATACTTAATAGGCTAGTGAAGTCACAGAAAACAAAGGGTGAAAACAGAAACGTCAAGAGTTCAAACAGTGAGTCAGCTAGTAAACACCTTATAAAATGATGAAAAGATTGCCACAGTGCGTGCTAAAGCGTCAATTCTAGCTTGGCATTTTAATTCACAGGTAACATGACACTGGAGTTCAATATGATGTTCTGTCTCAGCAATTGGCAAAAAAGTTGGCAGGTAATGCAGCTGAGCTAAGACATTATTCTTTTCTAGAAATGTGTCCTGGTCAAGATCTGATTTGAAGAGGAAGTATGAGGTGCCTGGGATGATGTTGAGAGGCCCCCAGCCAAGATGCAGTGCCTTGGCAGTATTTTCCTATCTGCAGCCATGGCAGGAAGGTGGTGTAACTGCTGCACCAAAGGGCAAAGATCTAGCAGGCGGGAAACAGAGGAGGAGAAAGAGATAGACAGCTGTCAGGAGTTCACAGATCAAGAAGGGTACTTCCTACTCAGCTGGAACACATTCTCTGAATACATCCTCTAAAGAGGAAGACCTAGGGGATGTCATGCCAGCATTCGTGTTGCCATTATGTGCCAGGAGCTTGGCGACCACAATGCAGAACCCGCCACTCGAAGCCCTGAATGACACCAGGCTTTGGGCAGAGCAAGCTCTTAGCTAACAGCAGTAAATGTTAGCTCCTGTCATTAATGACATCTGACCTGGCAAATTTCATTGCAGCACCTTAACTTGTCCTCTGTGAGGACCTATAAACTGTCTCACTACTTCCAGTGGTTACAGATATATGGAACCCAAATCCAAGAAATCCATTGCACTAGGAGGTGCAGTGAAATGATTTATTAAGAATTATTTTCAAATTAATATTGTAAAATAATACACAACTTAAGTTAGCTTTTGAAATTCTCAACTTTGCTGGATCAGAAACGCTCCATTTTTTTGCTGGCAATAACCACAAGAAACAACTGAAATATGAAACATGAGAGCACATTTAGAGAAACTCTGTCAACTTACGTTTGTATCCTCCGGCAATGCCTGACTGTGTCAGACATCTCTGCAACTCATCGGCATCTATCTGCCCGTCCTTTTTTGGGGGAAAAAATAGGAAGAGGAATGACAGTTGTGATTTATACTTTCTGGTTCTTTGATTACCTTCAGTATTCAATGTCATAATACTAAAGAAATCATTATCATCACTCAATGAGTTTTTTTTTTTTTAAAGAACTACATTCTAAAAGTGGGCCTTCTTTTCCTCACTCTGCTTCCAAATATAATTTAATGAGGAAAGAAAGTTATCAATTTATTAAGCCCTCTTCCAAAAATGGATACTTAGGGACACAATAAAATATCTAGTTCCCAATTCCTAAGTAAAGCAGGCATTCAACTTCAGGCTATATTGTAAATAATTAGTAAACAAAAACTGACAAAGCCTAAATGTTGTTTACTTCTGTACACTGCATTGCAAACACTTCTCCATCATTTCCTTTACCTGGTGTCAAATTACCAAGTAAGCAAGGTAAGCACAGGCTTACTTGTGCTTACTTATGAATCTATAGTGAATATTTTCACATTTTTCACCACATCAGCATGCTTTTAGGTCTGGCTGGCATCTGTTTCTCTCTTAACCCCAAAGCACCTTCCTACAGAATCAAAGCCTCTTCAAATTTTACAATCCCTGACAGGGCAGATTACTCAGTAAGCAAGGTAAGGGTGAGTTTACTTGTGCTTACTTAATAATCTATAGTGAACAGTTTCACATGGGTTTTACCACAGATTAGTAAGTAAGCACAAAGAAGCTTGGGTTTACCTTGCTTATTGGGTAATCAGCCCCTGCCTTTGCCAAATTCTTGAATTAAATTTGACAATAGTTTCAAGCAAGGTTCCTCTTTTAATTAAAAAAAAAAAAAACCAATGAGGTGAACTCAAAGTTTCTTTCATTGATACATGGTATTTTTTAATATATTTTTTTCTGTCTTGGCAACTACTCATCCTTCAGTCTCAGCTAAGAAACTGGCACAGCTAATAAGCATCTTAAAGTAAAATCATTTTCTTAAGTGCTTACAAATCTTATTCCAGTCTCTCTAGTAGTGATTTTGTGTGTGTGTGTTTGTCTTTTGCAGGGTACACAACTAACATCAGTAAATAAAAGCTTGGTTCACACAGATAGAGGATGACTTGCTCATTTTTTCTAATGATTTGGTGAATAGCTTTTTCAAACCAACAGTTATATATGGAAGGTACAAGTATGCAAAAGCATTAGACTGTGTGGATCATAACAAATTATGGATAACATTGAGAAAAACGGAAATTCCAAAACACTTGACTGTGCTCATGAGGAACCTGTACATAGACCAAGAGGCTGTCATTAGAACAGAACAAGGGGATACTGCATGGTTTTAAATCAGGAAGAGAGTGCAACAGGGTTGTATCCTCTCACCATACTTATTCAAACTGTATGCTGAGCAAATAATCTGAGAAGTTGGACTATATGAAGATGAATGTGGCATCAGAATTGGAGGAAGACTCATTAACCACCTGCAATATGAAGATGACACAATCTTGCGTGCTGAAAGTGAAGATGACATGAAGCACTTACTGATGAAGATTAAAGACTACAGTCTGCAGTATGGATGTCACCTCAACATAAAGAAAACAAAAATCATTAAAACTGGACCAGTAAGTAGCCTCATGATAAATGGCGAAAAGACTGAAGTTGTCAAAGATTTCATGCTGCTTGGTTCCAAACTCAATACCAATGGAAGCAGCACTGGGCAAATCTGCTACAAAAGGTCTCTTTAAATGCTGAAGACAAAGATGTCTCTCTGAACACTAAGGTGTGCTTAACTCAAGCCACGGTATTTTCAATTGCCTCATGTGCATGTGAAAGCTGGACAATGACTAAGGAAGACAGAAGAGTTTATGCTTTTGAGTTGTGGTGTTAGTAAAGAATACTGAGAGTACCATGGACTGCCAGAAAAACTAACAAATCTGTCCTGCAAGAAGTGCCGTCAGAATGCTCCTCGGAAGTGAGAAGGGCCACACTTCATCTCACCTGCTGTGGTCATGTCAGAGGGACCATTCCCTGGAGAAGGATATCATACTTGTTAATGTGGAGGGTCAGCGAGAAGGGGAAGACCCTCAACAAGATGAACTGACACAGTGGTTGCCATGATGGGCTCAAGAATAGCAAGGATTGTGAGGCTGGCACAGGACTGGGCAGTGTTTCATTCTGTTGCACGCAGGGCTGCTATGAGTTGGAGCAGACTCAACCGCACCTAACAACAAAAAGGTACTGAAAGCCCGCTCACTGGGTAGACAGTATCTGAACTAGATATAGGTCATTCTTCTTGGATTTCAAAATAAAACACCTAAATCTTCAAAGTGCCTGGGTATTTTAAGTCCTAAGTTAAGGAGTAGGGTCAATAATTTGAAAGGCAATGGATGTGCTGAATACAGGCCAAACCAAAACTAAACCAAACCCACTGCCATTGAGTTGCTTCTGACTCACAGTGGTTTTTAAGGCTGAAAATCTTTATAGAAACAGATTGCCTCATCATCCTCCCACAGAGGACCTGATGGGTTTGAATCACTGACTTTCTGGGTACAGCGAAATGCCTTACCCACTGCACCACGAGAGTTCCTTGAATACAAGCCAGGGCTCCTGAAAGCTAAGTAGGTAGAGTCACTTACAAGCTGCAGGCACAGGCAATCTAAGAATGCTAGGCTTGAGGTTGCTGTGTCTTGTGGTTTCAAAGATACAGATCATTAATAGATTAAGCAGATACTTAAGGGAAAGCTCTTCTAGTTTTAGACTTAATTTTCCATTCAGTTTCTCAAACTGCATTTCTTAGGCTGCTATTTTAAAAGGTGGTCTTATGTATTTATACCGTAAGAGTCTGTGGCATTCTTACATTGAAAAACCAAAATCCACTGCTGTTGAGTAGATTCTAACGTATAATGATTTTCACATTAGATCTTGTTATTTCTAGCTTTTGATCATAGCAAAAATATGTTGGATTCATAAGGACAAAAATCCTAATGTCTGGGTTATAGCAACAGCAGTATATTTTGTATACACAGTGACCTCATGAGCCAAGGGCAGTGACCTCCCTCAAGGTTAAGTCACCACCTGTTGATTCTCCAGTCATGCAACTCAGAAGGCAGAGAAATGAAAGATCTTGGGGACTGATCCTAATTCTCTCTCTAGGTCAACAGGCCACAACACCTAATAAGGACACAGAAGAGCTTATCTAGTGCCAGCATCTGCATCAAAGAGAAACTAAACTGTTCATAAGATTAACTTCCTGGTAGTGGGAAAAGAATAGTAAATTTCTTATTTAGAAGCCAGTGGGTTTTTAACTATTTCCTGAAGGGGGAATTAACAATCAAATTCAACCCAAAGAATGTATCCATTAGAATCTGGTTACGTAATTATTCATTTAATTTAGGCTATACAAGCAGGGGCTTATGTTCATCAGATCTTGAATTTCTTCTCTTGAAACCAACCTACACCCTGAAAATTCAGTTATAAACACATCTTTCTACCTTACAGATCTTCACAGTATATTGCTCTGGTGGTGTAGTGGTTAATGCATTTGGGTGCTAACCAAAAATCTGTGGTTGGAATTTACTAGCTGCTCAGCGAAAGAAAGGTGGGGCCGTCTGCTTCCATAAAGATTTACAGCCTTGGAAAGCCAGTGGGGTTGCTGTGAGTAGGAATCCACTAGATAGCAGTGGCTTTGGTTTGGGTTTATTCTATTCAAACTGACTCTCATTCAATCACAAGTATAGTTTGGGACTGAACCAATACATAAATACAATGCCACATTTTGTTCTGAATATTCAGAAGTGAATAGCTGACTCTGTCAATTTTATTCTTTCTCTCTTCTGCAAGCAAAGGGATTCATTTCCAAAAGTCAATTCATTTTTCTGCCCTTCTACAGCAAAAGGGAAAGTAGATATGGCATCCGGTACTTCCTTAATATTAGAAGGAAAAGCTAACCTGTCCAGCTACAGCAGCGAAGTAACCGTACAGCGGATCCTGAGTTTGTCCGGGAAACGCAGGGCCTCCGGGAGCCCCTCCGTACTGTGAACAGAAAACACATATGCATCATTCCGCTGATTCGTTTTATTCATTCATTGAGTGCCTTTGTGCAAAGCCCGGCATTTGTGTGCTCTTCACATCGTTACCTCCCCCACGACCAAGCACATTCTAACTGCAGCTTCCTACCCTTTTCTTCAATTTCACCCTCATAACTTAAAAACTGATGACTTTGGACCAAAATGAGTTGTCATAAAAATGACACGTGCATAAGTGAAGCAACTTTTAAAATCCCCATTAACCTGCAGGTTAGTGCGGTGAATACAACCTAGACAAGCAACTCGACAGCAGGACTCGAAATTGTATATTTTTCATAGCGTTGTATGACATTTTAAAAAGGTTTAAGAACCATGTAAGGCTGGAGCTGGTGAAATACTGTGACAAACTTATCCTAGGGAGGAAGGAGGTAAGGTACCTTGGCTGGGCTGTATTCTGAGGACCACCACTCTCTGCGAGGCAGTAAAATGAGCTAAGAACACTCTTGGAAGCAGTTCCCACGACAACGCGCATCCCAGACGCCAGGCAGGCGGCCTTCCTACGGGAGGTGGGCTTTTACTCTAGCCATTTTCCCTCACTTTTTATTATTTTTTTAAAATGTTCTCACTTTCGTTTAAAAGAAGAGTGGTGGCTCTTTAGATCATTCCATCTTGAAATGGCTGTTATTTTCAGGGGTAATACACAGGGAGAGGAAGGGCACCAACACACAATTTGCACAATTTCACGCTGCGTAATCGAAGTGCCACAAGGTGGATTTCCTGGGCCACAATGCACCCGCGCCCTCAATGTGTGGATACTCGGGAGGAGGAGAAGGGAGGAAAGACGTAGAAGGCGGCGACCCATAGGGGCCTAGGGCGAGGAAGCGAGCAGCCTGGAGCTAGAGGCGGCCGGGGAGCCGCCCAGCAGCGCCTGCGAGCCGACAACCAATATGGCCTCTCGGTGCCGCCGTAGCCGGGGGTCACTACCGGACCACAAGCTTGCCCGGGCCCTACTTACCCCGCCTGGGTAGAAGCCGCCGCCAGCGCTAGGGTGCCCAGGGTAAGCCATGGTGGCAACTGCGCCGCTGCCGCCGCCGCCCGCGCCCAGCGCTTTGCTAACTCTGCGCTCTGCCCAGCGCGCGGGCCCGCCCCCGAGCGCACCACGTGGGCCCAGGGGGACGCGCCTTTAATGCTGCTTCCCGCTCTGGGTTGGGCTGCAAGCCGCAGCTTCCCGGTCTACTGATTTCTCCATGTTTGTGGGATTTTGTACTAAGGCCTGCATAAACGGAGGTCCCGTGGTGAGCAGCGACCTGTGATGCAATTCACACCGGGTCCCTTCCTCCCCTCGAAACTAATGGGACGTTCCAACATACAGGGAATATTTTTTTCCCCTCAGCTTTCTATTTTGCTATTTTCTGGCATGTTTGTTATTTTAACATCTTTGAATTGGTCAGGCTGGCTCTAAGCAAAGTGCTGTATTGCGGTAAAAGTACTAAATTGCGTTAGTACAACTATCAAAACGCACTTCGGTGAAGATCAAAATAGAAAAGCGCCCTTGGAAAACAGCGATAAACTTCAGAAACCTTTTGCTAGGGGCGTTAGGCTTGCGGTTGCACTTATCACTGATAACGGTGAGTTTGTGTCCCTGCTAGGAGATGTTTTCATCTCCTGTTAAACTGGGCGTTGCTCAGATACGGCCTAGGAAGGACGTAATATATGTAGTATATATATATATAGATAGATAGATATAGATATATATAAAATATATATATTCTGGGCAGGGCAGCCTCACCCAGATCGTACTTAGGAATAGGAATTGTTTGCGTTATCTGGATGATTCTGACAAAACAACTCTTTTCGTCAGAATTACTCAATAACTTCTCTGTAAAAGAAAAGTTTGAAGCAAACTAAAAGTGTGCTGACAAATATTCAGGAAGTTGAGATATATGTACTTCACCTGGTTTATCCAGAGAATGGTTTTCTTCATACATTTCTTTCCTACCCAGTTGAGCGGTTTGAAGAAATTCAGACGTGGGATTTTTGTTTGTTTTCTGTTTGTGTAATCTGAATGACACAGAAAATTGCTTTCTTGCCCTTGACCATCAAGGATGAAAAACCAACTGCCAAACCAAAAAACCAAACTCGCTGCCACAGAGTCCGTCCCTTCCAGTCCTACCCCCCTTGGGTTCCTGAGGTGGTATTTCTGTGGAAGGAGATTGCCCAATCTTCCTTCTGAGTAGTGTCTGGCAGGTTTGAGCTGCCAGCCAGTCTTCTGGTTAGCAGTCAGATGCCTTAGGCATTATGCCACCAGAGCTCCCACCCAATTGCCATCCAGTGGAATTCCAAGTCAGAGTGACCCTGTAGGACAGAGTAGAACTGCCCTATACAATTTCTAAGGCTGCAAATCTTAAAGTAAGTAGACTGCTGCAACTTTCTCCCACTGAGGGCCTGGTGGGTTCCAACCCGGACCTTTTGGTTAGCAGCCCAGTGCCTTAACTACTGCACCACTAGGGCTCTAGGTGAGGATAGACTTTTTTTTTTTTTTTTTTTTAATTTTATATCTTAAGGAAGGCATTAAGGAGTGCCAGTGATATAGTAGTTATAGCAATCGACTGCTAACCAAAAGTTTGGCAGTTGAACTCACCAGCTGCTCTGCAGGAGAAAGATGTGACAGTCTTGGAAATTCTGTGGGACTGTTCTGTTCTGCCTTATAGGGTGGCTATGAGTTGGCCTTCCACTCGATTAAAAAAAAAAAAAACCTCACTGCCTTGGAGTTGATCCCTACTCATAGCAACCCCTCCTTGGGTTTCCGAGGTGGTATCTCTATGGAAGTAGAGTGCCCAAACTTTCTTCCCAGGAGTGGCTGATGGATTTGAACTGCCAGCCTTCTGGTTAGCAGTCAAATGCCTAAGCACTATGCCACCATGGCAGTGGGGTTTTTTGCTTAAGGAAGGCATTAATGAGCAAGTCATACAGTAGTTGGCCTGTATGTGGAGGTTGTGCAGAAAGATTTAAAGAGTTATCCAACGTTTAGGTGTGTAAGAGGGTAAGTTTGCACTTGACTAGTAAACTCAAGGTTCAAATGCACCGAGCCCTGCCATGCAAGAAAGACCTGGTAATCTTCTGTAAAGATTACAACCATTAACCCAATGGAGCAGATGTATTCTGTAACATAGGGCTGCCATGCTTGATGGCTATGGCTAGAGAACCTGCTGAGTGTGGCCCTTTGCTTACTGATGATGGTAGACACGGTTTCTTTACTCTCAGCTTCTGAGCAAGATTCTCAATAGGGTCATTGTTTTCATCTTGTGAGTAACTTTCCTCTCTGCATTCCCAGGTCCTCTTTTTAGATACTCAAACTCCTATATTGAAAGTCCTGACTCTTGAGAAAAATTCTCATAGCTTGTCTTATTCCCGTAGGAAGTAAACAGTATGTTACCTGATTTTGTGTTTGATTCAGGAAATAGACTGTTGTTTCTAAACACTATAGCAATCATCAAGGTGAGTTAATCGTTTTATGAGTCCCTTGACTACTTTGCTGAAGCCTGTTTCTTCAGAATGGTAACCTCGATGATGATGGCTGACCCCCATTACTTAGGCATTGCCTATTCAAAGTTGAGTGTAAACTCTTTCAAGAATTAAATATTTGTAAGTAATGCAGAATTAGCTTTGTGAATAAATGACTGTTAAAATTTACCAAATTGTCATTTAACTTGTCTTTAGGCCCATTGCTAAAAACTTGAATTTTAATGGAGTACAGCAAATGAAATTCTTAAAACCATTGCTGACAACACAAATGCCAGTGACATACTGTGTTTGCAACAAATACCTTAAGTAACTCCTTTCTTTTATGTCTTTATTCAACAAGAATTCCAGGAAGAAATATATTGGTAAGCCTCTGCTACTTCAATTTATAGGGGGAAAAAAAGCCACTATACCCTGCTCTAAAAACTTTCATATATATTTGTTTAATGAGATAGATGCTGCTATATACATTATACAGATGAGGAAATAGGAGCTGAGGGAAGTTGCCCAGTTGTGCTGTGCTGCCAAGCAGTCTAGCTCTAAACCAGGGGTCAGCAAACTTTGTAAAGGATCAGTTAGTATGTATTTTAGGCGTTTTGAGCCATATACTATATTGTAGCGGAAATCTGTAGACAATATCCCCTGTGGAGCAGTTCTACTCTGTAACATATGGGGTCGCCGTGGGTGGGAATCAGCTGGAAAGCTATGGCCATGGAACCTGCTGCGTGTGGCCCTGTGCTCAGTGATGCTGGTGGACAAGTTTCCTCCATTCCAAGATCTGAGTGAACAAGTGGGTGTGTCTCTGTTCCCCTGTAACTTTATTTAGGACACTGAAATTTGAATTTCATTTGATTTTCATATGTCATGAAATAGTATTCTTTTCATTTTTTTCTCCCTAACCATTTAAAAATGTAAAAGCCATTCTTAACTTCTGAGTGTACAAAAACAGGAGGCAGTGCAGAATTGGCCCTCAGGCAATAGTTTACCAGTCTCTGCTGGAAACCCTTCTAGCATACTGGCTTTATGGCGCTGGGAGTACAGCACCTTAGCAAGAGATTTTCTGGCTTTAGGATGAAGCTGATGCGTATGGGTGGTTGAGTCATCCTGACAAATGATGACTTCCCTGGGATGGGAAGACAGCTTCTTCCTATGTATAGAATGTATAGAATGGTTTCACAGTGTGAAACCCTGACTTGTCTGCCTCACTCTGTATTAGTAGCCACTAACTAAAATAAAAGCTCAGTATGAAGCTATCCATGTAACATGAAATCTTTTTATTCATAGGCTGAGTATTGTCAAACCTAAGCATCGAGAAAGAATAAAGACTCAGAACTCTGAAATTCCTAGGTGGTGCAAATGTTTAACACACTGTGCTGCTAGTTGAAAAGTTAAAGTTTCGAGTCCTCCATAGAGATGTCTTAGAAGAAAGGCCTGGTAACCCTACTTCCAGAAAATTAGCCATTGAAAACCCTTTGGAGCACAGTTCTACTCTGAGATGCATAAGGTTGTCATGGCTTGAAATTGATTTGTACTGGAATTGGTTTGTACTAGTTTAAGAACACTACAAAAATAGAGGTGTATATGGGCACCTTATATATTTGATATTCATTCCCATGGAATGGGTGGAGGGAGAGAGAAATAATCAACTTTATTAAGTTCTTGGGATGTGCCAGACATCATTCTAGGTACTTATGGTATTTCATTTAAAGCATATAATCTTCAGACCCCAAAACCAAACCCAACCCATTGTCATCAATTCAATTCTGACTCATAATGACCCTTTAGGACAGAGTAGAACTGCCCCTAGGGTTTCCAAGGCTGTGGATCTTTACAGAAGCAGACTGTTTCATCTTTCTTCCATGGAGCAGCTGGTGGGTTTGAACTGCTGATCTTTTGGTTAGCTGCCAAATGATTTAACTGTTATGCTATCAGAGTAACTTTCAAAAGAAGATGAAACAGAGGCACAGATAACCTTACCAAGAATTCACACCAGGATTTGACCCCCAATCAATCTAACATGATTGTTATAAAAATACACTACAAAGACTCTAAACCAAATTCACATTGCTTCCTCATTGTACTACTTATTAAGGATTAAGGACTGAAGAAGAATCCTAGAGGTATAAAAGCAGGGGAAAGGAAAGCCAACCCAGGGGGATAAGACAGAGCTAGCTGCAGCTCTGGTAGCATAGTGGCTAAGGCACTTGACTGCTAACCAGAAGGCTGGCGGTTCAAACCCACCAGCCACTCCCCGGAAGGAAGGTTGGGCAATCCTACTTCCGTAGTGATACTGCCTCGGAAACCCAAGGAGGGGTCGCTATGAGTCAGGGCT